GGCCGTGCTCACCGCGCTGTCGCACGCGCTGGCCGTGGACCACGCCCACTCTGCGGCCTACCTGTCGCGCTGGCTCGCCGTCGCGTCCCCGCTTCTCACCTCGCTGCACGTGTCCGACGCCGTGTCGACGCCCGTCGCCGCCCTCTCCGCCCTGCTGTCCGCCCCGCGTCTCACGCGCGCCGCCGTCGCCGACCGCGCCCCGTTCGTCGCCCTGCTCGCGCGCCGCCCCGCGCTGCGCAGCCTCACCGTCTTCGCAGAGTCGTTCCGCGTCCGCCCGGCCCTGCTCGCCGCCCTGGCCCGCCTCGACCTGCACGAGCTCCACCTCTCGTGCTCGTTCGCCGACCCGCGCCACTGCGTGAGGCACGACCTTCGCGCCCTGCCAACACTGTGCCCGCGCCTCGAGTCGCTCGCTGTGCGCTGCTACGGCCATACGCCGCCGCCCGCGCAGCACACCGCCAAAGCCCTCGCCGCCTTGCCCACGTTAACACACCTCTCCATGCACCCCGCCATCCCCGCCCCACACCTCGCCCACCTGCCCTCGCTGCGCTCTGTCGTAGTCACGCAAGCCCGCAACTCGCATCTGCAAGCCGTCCACCTCGGGCCCCTCGCCACCTCGCTCTCCTCCTGGGACTGTCTCACCTCGCACGACCTGCACCTCCTGCGCGCGTGCTCCAATTTGGAGTCACTTCGAGTCACAGTCAACAAGGGCTGCGAGCAACCGCTGGCCGCCCTGCTCCAACGTCTCCCGCACCTCCGCTCCCTGGCCGTGTCATGGCCTTCCTTTGCGGACTGGGCCTGCCGCTCCGGCCCGCCCACCCCGCCCTTCCGCGGACGGCGCCACTACGTCGATTTGCCCCCCTTGTTCCTACCGAGTCTCGTCAAATCTCTCCAACCGCTGCGCGAGCTCAGTCTCACAGAGGTCCGCCTGCCGTTGTCGGACCTTTCTGCAATTTTGATCTCATTGGGCAAGTCTCTGCATCAGTTCGGCACCTCTATTGTGGATCAAAAAGAGATGCCATTTTTTCGCCTCGAGGCCGTTTTGATAGCCTTGGCCACATCCAACCACGAGCTCCGCCGCTTGAATGTCTCTGAGCTCACCAACTATTATGCCATCAAACCCGTTCCAAGCCACACTCACTTCAACAAACAACAGCGCCGCCTCGCCGTCGCCATCCGTCGCCTCGCCATTCGTGCTCCGCTTTGGCAGAGTGACGAGATCACTGAATTTGTAGAAAGAGCGTTTCTCCACCCTCCAAAATAAAACTTCCCCTTACTCAAAACAGCCGTCAAACGGATACACTAGCCACGCTTTTTTTTGCGGCGTTGTCTATGCTTCTCTTACCCCCATTTTACCTTTCCAGTTGAACAGGGACGTCGCTGCTGCCGGCCACTGTGAGCCTCATGTGCTTGTCGCTGGTCGCCGCACGTTGGTGACACGGTGGGCATGTGGCCGTACTCTACCGTAAGGGAGCGGGAAAACTTAGATGGGATGGGAGCGTGGAGATGGGATCCAGAGGGGTAATGATAGGGCATGTGTCTTGAAATGGGTGCGCTTCATTTCATTCCCGGGATATAGTGATTCGGATTTCTTGCCTATCAGGCTTCGGCTGAGAAGAAAGGAGGAAAGCCGACAAGCATCACCAGTTGAATGAAAGCCCAGTCGCATCTCGCTCTGCAACTCGTCGAAAGACGTCGCGAAGGGCGTCGGAATTTCGCACAAGACGTTCCACGGCGACGATGTGACGCTCCTCCACAAGCTCCTTGCACAGCGCCGCTGGAAGCTTTTCTCGAATAAGTGACAAGTTTTCGCGATGCATCTCGACGGCCTTAGACGCGACGTCCTTAGGATGCGCCTCCCACAGCGATTGCTCCCACTCATCAACAAGCAACAGCCGAAACGCGATATCCTTGAACCTGGGCTGCATCAGCTTGAAAGCGACACGTGCCTCAATATCAGCATCATCCACGGCGCGAGGGACAAGCTTCCGCACAGAGCCTGAGCACCACATGGTGATGACGTAGCGGCGCTTGAAGGAAGGAAGCACGCGGTGATGCATGCCCGTCGAGGCGAGCAGCACAAGGCGGGCGTCCACTGGTTCGATATCCACAAAGTGCGTGGGGGTGTTGTACAAGCGCAAGCAACCGCCGTCGGCGCGCGAATCCCAGGCGTCATTCAGATACAGCAGGGCTGTGACGACGCGCCTATCAACCGACGGGGATGAGTCGACATGGATCGGAAAGCAGGCGCCGTCGCCCTCGGCGCGCTGGACCTTGAGCGCGTGCTCGGTGAGGGTGAAGCGCGGGGCGTGGACGCTGAGCGAGGCGTAGACGGTGGGGTCGTCAGTGAGGGCGGCGAGCGCGGGCAGGGCGGCGAGCGTGGCCGGAGGCAGATGGGCCAGCTCGGCTTCGAGGACGTTGCGCTTGGTGAACGTGGAAGTGGCGGAGGCGGAGACGATGTGCGTGGCGTTGGGTTGCAGGTGCGCGGCGTCCGCGAGAGCATCGATCTCGCGGCGCAGGGAGGCCGAGCGCGCAGGAGGGATGGCCGAGTCGAGAACGGCGTAGCCGTGCGTTTCGAGATGCGTGGAGAGCGAGGGGGGGAGGGCGGCTAGGAGGGTGCAAAGGGGACGGTAATACGAACGGATGGCGGGTTGGAGACGGGTGGTGAGCATTTCGGATTGGTAAAAGGGGGCGGCGGGCGTGGGGAGGGAGTGAACCCAACGTTGCTGAACCTGAAGGCATTTGGTGTTGCGGTGGCCCGGGAAGCTTGGGAGGCCAATTTGTGGAATAGCGCAAAGATATGCGGTCGTGCTTTCCGTAGTTGCTATTGGCTCCCATGCAAAATGAGTTCACTCCCATAGCCTTTCTTTCATCCTACTGTAGTTATCCTCTTCACTAATAAAGCGTCCAACTGGCAGCTCCCCACTTCTCAAAGGCATAAATGAAAAGGGAACTGATGGAAGAACAAGCGAGCCTTGATCCGTTGAAAGTGGAAGCGGTACATGGGCCCCTGCCCATGAGTGCTGCCCCGTGCGGGGGCCACAAAACCGGCACTATTCGACGACGGCATTCCTTGACAGATCATCTAAGCAGCAATTGTTGACGTGGTTCAAA